CTTCCACAGTGGTTGAACCATTTTACACTCCCACCAACAGTGAATAAGGGTTCCAGTCTCTCCACAACCTCGCCAGCATTTGTTGCTTGCTGTTCTTTTCTACTGTCTCTTATGAATCCAGCTTGATTTTCTGGCAGTTCTTTGTTGTTGCACTGTTGAAGCCATTTTTCAGTAATGTTCAGCAAGATTTCATTTGCATATGATATTCATAATGTTATTTCATCATTTCCACAACCTGTTGGTTGATATTTATTTGGAATGGGAACAAATATGGTTCTCTTCTAGTCAGTTGGACAAGTAGCTGTCTTCTAAATATTCTAGCAAAGACTGGGGAGCAGTGAGCATATCCAGGTTTGCATCCATTTTCTGAAACATCTCAATTGTGACTGCACATATTCAGGGACCTATTTTGTTTATATAATTACTTCAGGGAAGCTTTGATTTCTTCCTTTAACACTACTGTTTCTTCATTAAATACTATGTCCTAAAATAATTCTGTGTCAACCAATTCTTTTTGGTACAGTGACTCTGTGTATGTATTCCTCCCATCTTCTTCTGATACTTCCTGTTTCGTTCAAGACTTTGCCCACAGAATCCTTCAGTATTGCAATTCAAGGCTTGAATTTGAAACCAATGTGCTCCTTAGAAGCGTCTCACATACTTTGGGCATATTGTCAGGAAGGGCTACTCTTTGGAAAGAGATATTCTAGGAAGGTAGTGGGTTAGCAAAAAAAGAAAAATCCTCAATAAAATGGACCGGCACGGCTACAACAATTGTGCATGGCAGAGACCATGAAGATGGACCATGACAGGGAAAGTTCAGATAAGTTGTTCATGGGGTTGTTATGAGTCATGTTCTACACAGTGACACATTAACAATTGTATCCAAACCCATATAACTTTAAAAATGGTTTTCATTCCCTTTAAAGTGCTTTCCATGAATGAATTCATGTGATATCAACAAGAACAATAAAAATTTGAAGCAGAAAATAATTCAATCTTAAAAGAGTTAAAATATTCACAAGTAACGTCCCACCCCTTAAAACAAAATAAATAGGAGCTCTTGTGATGTAATCTGAAGAGTGCTGCTGTTAATCCAATGGTGGTATCTCTCTGGAATTTCAAGTCCACAAGTAGGTCAGCGGAAAAAGAGACAAGCAATCTCCTCTCATGGGATTTACAGGCCCAGAAAACCAGCTGAAGAATCAGCTAAGAGTCAGCTCCCACAGTGAGTAGAAAAATTAAATTACAAATATAAATGTAATTAATAACCTTTAGTTCGACCCAATACAATGACAACAAACAGGCCAGAATGAGAGGAAGCAAAGAGAAAAGGGAAGAGGAGGCAGGAAGAAGGAACAAAATAAGTCAATCGATACATACACACATAGACAAAAACATAACCTTTAGACTGAAGATATGAAATTTCCACCAACTAACCGGCAATTAAGGCATCCTTAGGCCACCTGCTGAACCAGTCTATGGTACATCCTGAAATAAGTGCAGGGAACTTCAAAGCTCGATTTCTAAATTTTTCACCCACTGGTGAAAAGCAGAGTACAATGTGAAGGTTGTGTCGGACCCGACTCATGAAGTACTCATACAGATTCTCATTGGTAGGAGGGCGCCGAGGGTATTCTCTTTTCATGACCGATGTAAGATCACTATGAATTTCATCAATTTCATCACGAGCAAATAGATTGGAGACCTTCAAACAAAATGCAGATATTAATATTTAGTATGTACTCATAAAATAAATAAGACTACACAAATCAGTGCATATGAAAATATCTTTTCCTCCATCTGTGTTCTTAGATTCATCTAATGTTTTCAAGATAAGATATTTTGTGTTTTCAAATACACAAATGATTCTATTATTAACTACAAAGTTTTAGTCTTCTAAGAGACCTAGTGATCTACTATGTAAGGAGTTCCACTGCTAAGACAAAGTCAGGAAATTCTAATCAACAGTTATTTAACAGATAATAGACGGGCAATCTCCTCCTGTGCAATTTACAACTTTTGAAAACCCACTAGAGAGTTAGCTAAGAGTTGGTTTCCAACTCAATGGCACATAACATCAACAAAAGTTTGCTGTTTATCTATTATCTAGGTAGCTCTTCACTCCTGGTAACCCTAGTATGGAGTTTGTCTTCTAATATGGCTTTTCTAGAATTATCTGAATGTGGATGACTGAACAGTGTTGGCGGGCAGGCCTGTGCAAATGTTGGTGTGATGGCCTATCCACAAAGGGATTGGCTATCTACCATTCTGCAAGGGGATTGGCCAGTCTCAATAATCTATAAAAGGGTCAGTGTCAGCAATAAATTAAATAGCTGTAGCCACAGAGAAGCAGAATCATCCCCCATCAGAGAAGAGGAAAGATACCTCCTATCGCCACCAGCCACCATCAGCAAAGAAACCTCAACACTAGGAAAAGACTAGTCATGGCCAAACTGGAAATATGACATGAGATGAGACTGTGGAGGCAGAGGGGAGCCAATACTGGCAGGACTGAAAATTTTGTTGGACAATTGGGGTGGGGGGAATCCACTACTGGCAGGACTGAGAACTTGGGAACACTTAAAGCCAACAAGGTTCTCTGTGGTCTGTGAGCTATCACATCATATTTGGACTCACTAAAGCAGTAGGATTGGTGTTGAGATGAGTAGAGAAAGGTACAGTAACACGGGGGACATGTGTGACATCATGGGAATTGGTTTTGTGTTATTGATGCTGTGGAAAGGGTTAGTTTCATTCTGTGAAGCTGATAAAGGTGAGATACGGCACACCTCATGTGGCCCTTGATCTTTTTATACCCAAGTACAATATCAGACTGTTGTTAACCATGTAGTTTTCATGAGCTGATTTTTCAGGAGCAGGTCACCAGGCTAGTCTGTCTTAATCTGAAAGCTCTGTAGAAATCACCTCAATAGCACGGCAACACCCTAGTTTCCACTAGCACACAGATGGTGACTACAATGAGGTGTACTGTTTGGAATTGACCTCTTGCATGGAAAGCAAGAATTCTACCATTTACTCACCAACTTATCACTACCTTCTTACTTGAGGAGCAAATACACATATAAAAAGTCATTATTCATAGTGATCATCTAATCCCCAAGTGCACTTTTTTAAGAATCAAAAGACATTATGGAGAGTTCTAAATATGTAGAGGATTCAAAAGTCAAAATTCACAAAAATCAGTGGGTTCTTACCTCACCAGATGATAAAACATTATTCATGTATTCCAAAAATGACTCTTCTTTAATCTCATTGTCTGTGAAAATGAAAGTGATTCCTTTGCCCTGCTGACCAGCTGTTCTATACAAAACCTTCAGGTCTTCTATCAGGTTTGATGTGTTATATGATCTAAAGAAATATTGCCATTGGGTGATTAGCTAAAATATTCTTATGGGACAGAAAACTCTTATAATAATGCTTCGTGTTACTCAATTTAAAAGTAACACAAATGTTAAATAGGCATAAAGAGTTAAACAGATATTTTACTGAAGAGGGTACTCAAATAGCCATCAAATAGATGAAGAAAAATGTTCAACATCATTAGCCATCCTAACCCCTTGTGACCAACCATTGGTTTCCAAGGCTATAAATATTTATGGAAGCATATTGTTTCATCTTTCTTCAGTGGAGTAGCTGGTAGACTTGAAACGCTAGTTTCAGGTTAGCATCCCAACATACAAACTCAGTGAGATAGCATTTCACTTTTATTAGGGTGGAAAGGATATAAATTACAGATGTTGGTAACGATGTGAAGAAATTAGATCCTTACCAACTGCTGGTGAATAAAAGCAGAGCAGTTTGTGTGTTCCTATCACATACATAGTCATTAATTTATCATGCTTAGAAGAACACTAAGGTCTCTACTGAGAAATTATAATGCAGTAGAATTCATGGCAGACTAAAAATTAAGAAACCCAGAGCCAATTCTAACTAGACCTAACTAGACCAGACACATCCCACGTAAGGGATAGTCTTTGTGAACCTCATCTGCAAGATGGACTTTTCTGCAATGGTGAATCACAAAGTTATCCTAAAGGTCAAATGAGTTTCTCCAGGTAAAATAAATAAATAAACTTTGAAAATTGTTAGGTTTTAATACAAATATTAGGAACCAAAATTACAGGATCTAATCCCTTTCCAGATACTTTTTCTCTAGTCTTATCCACAAATTGGTCTGGTGATCAAAGAGTTGCACAATCATGGTTTATAGCTTCTGAAAACCCATGGAAGAGGCAGCTATACAGAAATGGATGGCTAAATGATTCACAACTAGAAGAATTATCTACAAAGTAACTAGAATTATGTATCTCTTTGTTCCAGGACATGAACAAATTAGTAATCTTTGGATTTTCATATCTGGATCTTCAAACCCAATGTTTCATTATTTTCAATCATTTTCCTAGAAGGTATCTATTACTTCCATCAATGAGAACATCAGCTATCGTATTTGCCCTCTGGGCCAAGCCAAAGCTTGAGAGTTAATGTCCAATGTTGTTTATTAGGTGTCAAGGAGTAAACTATGACTCACAGCAACCCTATGAACAACAGAGCTCAACTGTGTCCTATCCTATATCATCCTCATGTTCTCTATCAATTATGCTTAAGCCTACTGTGGTAGACTCTATGTTAATCCATCTTGCTGAGTATCTTCCTCTCTTCCCCTGACCTAACTTTCTCAGCACGAAGTCTCACTCCAAGTAATTGTTCCTCCTGAAAATATTCCCAAAGTAAGTAAAATGAAGTCCCACAATCCTTGCTTCTAAAGTACTCTGGTTACATTTTCTTCAAGACTAATATGTTTGTTCTTTGGTAGTCCGCAGCATATTCAATATTCTTTCCCAACAGCTCAATTCAATGACTTCTTTGGTAGTCCTTATTCATCATCCAACTTTCAGATACATATGAAGCCAATGAAAACACTATGGTTGGATCAGGCACAACTAGTCTTTAAAATGGCATATGTTGACTGTAAGTCCAAGAAAAAGTAAACCATTGACAACTTCACGCTTTTTTCCATCCATCATGATGTACCCTATAGGTCCAATATCTAACATTGTTGTTGTTAGGTGCTGTTGAGTCAAGTACAACTCATAGCGATCTTATGAACAACAGATCTGAATCCTATCCTATGTCATCTCCTACAAATCTAAATCCATTGGTGCAGTCACTGTGTTAATACATCTCATTGAGGGTTGTTCTCTTCTTTCCAAACAAGATATTCGCTTCAAAAAAATATCCCATCCTAACAACATGCTCAAAATATGTGAGATGAAGCTTCACCCTTGTTTCAAAAGAATATACTCTTGGTAAGATCCATATTTAGGGTCTTCCGCTATTACACACATGTTGAACTTTATTCCCAGAGTGTTTCTTAGTTTCTCTTCTCTGAGATAGTTCCCACTCAGAGTTAGGTCTCATATTAAACAGCTCTTCTTCTAAGAAGCCTTCTCCTCCTACCTCCTATACTAGGTTGGGAGTTACTCCTACATACTCCCACAGGTTCTGTGTTTAATTCTCATCATAGATTGCTGTTGTAGCTCTTGGGTGCCACTGACTCAACTATGACTCATAGTAACCCTATGAACAATGGCTCTGAACCTTGTCCTATTCTGAGGCATCCTCCTCATCTTTAAAATGCTTGATGCCATTATTATAGTCACTGTGTGAATCCAGTTCATTGAGGATCTTCTCTTGCACTGATCCTCCACCTTTCCAAGGGGGATGTCCTTCTCCAAGGCTAGCATAGATCACATCCATTATAGATATGCTTCCCAGCATAGATATGCTTGCTATAATGATGTTGTTGTTAGGTGCCATTGAGTTGAGTACAACTCATAGCAACCCTCTGAACAACACATCTGAACTCTGTCCTATTCTGTGCCATCTTCATACTTCCTGATACACTAGAGCCTGTTGCTGTAGTCACCCTGTCAATCCGCCTGGGCAAGGGTCTTCTCTCTTGCAGACCCTCCACCCTTCCAAAGTATCATGGCCGTCTCCAAGGAATGGCCTGTTCTAGCAACATGCACAAAGTATGTGAGGTGAATCCTCATCCTTCTTGCCTCCGAAGAGCACTCCAGCTGCACACTTTCCAAGACATATTTGTTTGTTCTTTTGGCCATACATGGAATGTTCAGTGCTCTTCTCCAACAGCATAGCTCAGAAACACCAGTTCTTCTTTTGTCATCCGCTTTCATTGTACAGCTCTCAGATGCAAAACAAGTGAGCAGAAGGATCATAGCCTGAATCATACACACTTTAACCTCAAACTGACATCATTACTTTTTAATAATTTGGAGAGGTCCCTAACTGCAGACTTTCGCAGTGCAGCAATGCATCTTCTTATTTCCTGACTGCTGGTCCCAAGGGTGTTAACTGTGGATCCAATTAAGATAAAGTTGTCGAAAGTTTCAATCTCTTCTCCATCTATCATAATGTTACTTATTGGTCCAGTGGTAAGAATTTTTGTTTTCTTGATATTGAGATGCAAAATACACTTCATTCCTTGATCTTCTGCAACAAGTGCTTCGAGAACCCCTGACTTTAATGCAAGTAAGGTTGTGTCATCTGTATAATGCAGGTTTAAGGTTTGTTTTTGGTTTTGTTTTTATTTTATACTAGCTTACTTACAAAGTTCATATAGGTTGTTTTACACACTGGATCTTTCCCATTTCCTTTAAGGCCCCTTCTTCCACCCATCAAATTGTGTGACCTTATGAATAACCACCACCACCTCCTGCCCATCCTCACCCCTCTACTCCCATTCTCTCCCTCCTTGGATCCTCATTCATGTTCTAAAATAATGATCTTATAAAGTATTTGTCCTTATGGGACTGAGTTAGTTCATTTATTATAATGCTCTCCAGTCCCTCCCAAATTAGGTAATGATTTATAAAATCATGGATCCTTCATGTTGCATAGTATTCCATCATGTGAATATACCATAATTTCTCAATCCATTCCATTATGGTTGGACATTTGGACTATTTCCATGTTTTTGCAACGGTGAATAACAAGGCTATGAATATTAGTGTGCAAGTCTCCATTTGTGCCTCAATTCTCATTTTTTTTTCAGATTATATTCCAAGCAATGGAATAGCCGGGCCATGTGGAATTTCTCTGTTCAGCTTTCCAAGGATATGTCAAATTGCCTTCCAGAGTGGTTATACCATTCTAAAATCCCACCAACAATGTATAAGAGTTTGTATCTCACCACATCTTCTCCAACATTTATTACCTGGCGTCCTGTTAAATTTTGCTACTGCTGCTGGAGTGAGATGGTATCTAATTGTGGTTTTGATTTGCATCTCTCTTCTTGCCAGTAATTTTGAGCATTTTTTTCCCACATGTCTGTTGGCTATCCAAATATCTTCTGCTGTGAAAATTCTTTCCATGTCTTTTGCCCATTTTTTAATTGTGTGATCAACCTTTTTCTTGTGGACACCCTGTAGGATTCTGCAAACTTTTCTTATGAGACCCTTTTCTAAAATGGTATTGCCAATTGTTATTTCACAACTGGTAGGGTCTTTTTGACCCTGTTAGAAAAGGTTTTTAATGTGCACAGAGGTTTCATCTTTTGAAGGTCCCATTCATCAATTTTGTCCTCTCAGAATGAGCAATTCTGGCTGTATTTGGCAGTCTCTTTACAAGATAGACTAGTCAATCTAAGCTTGATACCAGTTTGTCTCTGATGAACTTTATGGTTTGGGGCTTTACTCCCAGGTCTCTGATCCACCTTGAGTTGATTTAAGTGTATGGTGTGAGATGTGGATCCTGTTTCATCTTGCTTCAGGAAGCAGTCCAATTTTCCAGCACCATTTGTTGAAGAGGTTGACATTTCTCCATTTGGTTGATTTTATTTCCTTGTCTAATATCAGTTAACCATAGATACCGGAGTCCATTTCTGGGTTCTCAATTCTGTTCCATTGGTCTATGTGCCTGCCATTGTACCAGTACCATGCTGTTTTGGTTACTATTGCTGTTCAGTAGGTTTGTGGTCAGGGGGTGATATGCCTCCTATTTCATTTTTTAGTTTCAGAAGCACTTTGCTTATTTGGAGACTCTTCCCTCTCCAAATAAACTTAAAAATTCCCCTGTCAATCTCATTGAAAAATTAATTTAGTATCTATATTGTGATTGCATTGCATATGTAGCTTGCTTTTGGTCGGATTGTCATTTTCACAATATTGAGTCTTCTTATCCATGAACTTATAAGTGGATACTTTTCCCCACTTATTTAGGTCTCTTTTTGTGTCACACAGAAATGTTCTGTAGTTGTGCTTTTGCAGGTCTTTTGTGTCTCTAGCTAGGTTCCCAGGTTTCTCAATTTGTGATTGGCTATTGTAAATGGTATTTACTGCTTTCTTGGTTTCCTTCGCTGAGTTCTCTTTGTTACTGTAGAGGAATCCCACTGATTTTTGGATATTTATCTTATATCTAGCCACTCTACTAAACTGGTCTATAGCTCTAATAGTTTCTTTGTTGGGTGCTTGGGTTTTTTTATGTACCCTATAATGTCATCTGCATATAGTGATAGCTTAACCATCTCTTTGCTGATCTGGATGCCTTTTATTTCTTTCTCATGTAATATTGCCTTAGCAAGCACTTCCAATACAATGCTGAATTGATGTGGTGAGAGTGGGCATCCTTATACTGGTCCCTGTTAACCAGGAAAATGCTTTTAGTCATTCTCTACTGAAAATTGTATTAGCTTTTGTTTTCAATACATACTTTTCACTATGTTAAGTAAATTCCCTTCTATTCCAATTTTGCTGAGTATCTATAGCAGGAAAGGGTGTTGGATTTTGTCAAATACCTTTTGTGCTTCAAAGGCTAAGATCATATGGTTCTTGCTATTTGCTTTGGGGATTTTTTTTTTACTTTCTTTTTTTAATTGGTATTTTAATGAAAGTTTATAAAGAACTTGACTTTCCATTCATTCATTGTTGCACATTTTCCTCCCTGCCCCCTTCTCCAAATTCACTTTTTACTTTGGAAAAAAAGTTCTTTCATTGTTATACAGTTCCAACCCGAAGACAACTTTACTATGCTAATAATACCTAATCATATATTCTTTTTATAAAGTTCTCTCCCTCATCTGTTTCAATGCCGTGTACATTATTTATCCCCTCTTGTCTTAGTTTTCCCCCAACCCTGATGTCAGTCCTGTTTTATAGCAATGATATTATGCACTATTTGTCTTTTTGTGACTGAGATATTTCACTCAGCATAATGTCCTCCATGGTCACCCATTTTATATAATATTTCATTAGTCCTTTGTTTCTCAGTGCTGCATAATATTCCATTGTGTGAATATACCACAGCTTTTCTATCCATTCGTTTGTTGATGGGCATTTGGATTGCTTCCAACTCTTTGCTATTGTGAACAAAGCAGCAATAAACATGGTGTTCATATATCTTCTTGGGTGGCAGTTCTGGTTTCTTCAGGCTATATTCCCAGTAGTGGACTTGCTGGGTCAAATGCTATGTTACTTGCTTTGTTAATGTGATGGATTACATTGATTATTTCTCTTATGCTGCATCATCACTTGGTCATGATGAATTTTTTTATGTGCTTTTGAATTCAACTGGTTAGGATTTTGCTAAGGATTTTTCCATCTATATTCATTAGATATATTGGTCTGTAGTTTTCTTTGTTTATAATATCTTTGTCTGGTTTTGGTATTAGAGTTATGCTTGCTTCATTGAATGACTCTAGGAGTGTTTCTTCTTGGTCTATTTTTAAAAATACTTTAAGTGGAACTGGTAATAGATCTTCTCTGAATGTTTGGTAGAATTCAGCTGTGAAGCCGTCTGGTCTAGGACTTTTCTGATGGGGAAGTCGTTTTATGACCTGCTCGATTTTTTCCTTTCTGATGAATCTGTTCATCTATCCTTGACCTTCCTTGTACCAGACCCTCCATCAGGTTTTCAGAGGCGATAAATTGCAAAAGAGATTGAAACTATCAAGAGCATCTTAGTACTAGCAGTCAGGAAATGAGGAGACACATTGCACAGGGCAAATATGCAATTAGGGACCTCTCCAAATTATTGAGGAGCAATGATGTCAGTTTAAGGAGTAAGGTGCATCTGATTCAGGCCATGATCTTTCTGGTCACTTGCTATGCATCTGAGAGCTGGACAATGAATAAAGATGACAGAAGAAGAATTGATGCCTTTGAGGTGTGATGTTGGAGAAAAGCACTGGATATGCCATGAATGGCCAAGAGAACAAACAGCTATGTCTTAGAGATGGTGCAGCCAGAGTGTCATGTTGCTAGGAGAGCCTTTCCTTGGAGAGGGATATTATGCTGGGAAGGGTGGAAGGTAGGTGAAGTAGAAGAAGACCCTCAGTCAGGTGGATAAACATGATGACTGCCATAATGGGCTCTAGTGTGTCAGGAAGTGTGAAGATGGCATAGGGAAGGGCAGGGTTCAGATCTTTTGCTCATAGGGTCACCATGAGTTGTACACAACACAGCAGCACCTAACAACAACAACAACAAATGGCACAGGAGTAGAGTGTCCATCCTTCTCCCATGGAGCAGCTGGTGGATTCAAACCATGTACCTTTGGGATCGGATTGCAGTTTCTTACTAGTCATACTCCTAGGCCACCAGACCCCAAAGAAGGTTTTTAGAGGCTGTAAATCACATGGAAGGTGACAACTTATATTTCTCTCTCAGAGTATTTGGTCGATTTGAACCACATGCTTTGGGGTTGGCAGCACAATCCCTTACAACTAGGCCATCAGAGTGCCTTCAAATTGTACTAAAGAAATCCACAAAATATTTATATTTATTCATAGCATCTATACATAACACATAGGGAGCTCTGGTGGCTTAGTGGTAAGGAATCGCACTGCCAATGCAAAGGCATGCGGTTCAAACCTACCAGCTCTCCTCAGGAGAAAGATGGACAGTCCCCCTTCGTGTGATTGACTGCCTTTGAAAACCTGCTGGAAAGTCAGCAATGGCTTGGGTTTTGGTACACATCCAAACAACAACATTTATCACATAAAAACAGAAAGGCACTCCAGTCAATGTTTTAAAATGTATTAAAATGCTTTTTAAAATTAGTTGCTATATCAATACTATTTTTTTTTTTAAAAAAATCTTTGGCCTATACTTTACTGTTTCAGACACTAAAGGAGAGACCAAAACAAAGAAGAGAAATGTTGAAATAAGACACATAAACAGAAAATTTCAAAGAGTAGGTTGAAAAGACAAAGTATTTTAACAAAATGTTCAAAGAACTGGAATTAGGAAATCAAAAGTTTGGAACTTTACACTCTCCTGGACCATCATCAGGATCTCTGTCATGTTTGTTTTTGTTTTTGTTTTTTTTTAAATTTAGGTTGTTTATTTTTTATTTCAATGAACGTCTACAGAGATTTTGGAATTCCATTCATTCACTGTTGCACCCTTCTCCCCGCACAAACCCCTCCCCCTCTCCCCCCATTTGCTTCTCTCCTTGAAAAGCAAAATAAAAACTCCCTCATTGGTACACAATCCCCCCCCCGCACCTCCCCAAACCCCACCCCCTAGCCCCAAATATAATCCGCTCTACAATTTTTTCAATCACCTTATATGTACATGAAAGATAATATTATATTATAAAATGAATTTGTAATTACTTCCTATGCATCAGAAAGCTGAACAATAGCTAAGGATTACAGAAGAAGAATCTATGCCTTCGAGTTGTGATGCTGGAGAAGAGTCTTGAATATATATAGACTGCCAAGAAAAAAAAAATAGGTCTGTCTCAAAGAGGGTGAAACCAAGTTTCTCCTTGAAACTACTTGAGCAGGTGTCCAGGAGACTCTAGTCCTAGGAGAAGGACATCATGCTTGGAAGGGTGGCGGGACAGCACAGGAGAGGAAGACCCCAGGTGAGATGGATTGATACAGTGACCAGGACAATAGGGGTAGGGGTGTCAGAGTCGGTGAGACTGGCTCAGGACATGGCAGCCTTTAGAGTTGTTGTAAATAGGGTCACTATGAGTTGCAAGTGACTCAACAGCACATATCAACAACAACAACTTAATGAATAAGAAAGTTTGATGGTTTTGAATCATGATGATGGCAAAGAATATTGAATATACCATGCACGGACCTCTAAGAAACAAATCTATCTTTGAAGAAGTGTAGGCAGAGTGTTCCTTAGAGGCAAAGAGGATGAAAACTCATCTCACTCACTTTGGGCATGCTGTCAGGAGGTCCAATTCCTTAGAAAGGACATCTGGTTTGGAGAAACAGAGGGTCAGTGAAGGAAAGGCCTTCAATAAGAGGAATTCATACAGTGACTGCAACATTGGGCTTACTGAGCACAGTACTGAAAATTGTTAGAATGGCACAAAATCAGGCAGGGTTTCATTCTTCTGTTGTTGGGGGTTGATTTGGCAGCACCTAACAACATTATTTTAATTAATATATATTTGAGTTACACTATAGAAGAAACTCATTTCAGTAAACATTGTGCTTGTACTATGTGTCAGACACGAACAATAACTGAAAAATCAGCTTTAAACTCAGTACAAACTCATAGACTTGTATCATAACAATGACATACTAAAGGTAAAAAGAACTGACACATGTAGGAAATGGAAGTATTTAAAATTAGTTAAATGACGTTCTCTCTAAGTTTTGAATAGAACGTAGCTCATAGGCTTCTTACTGTTCCATACTTACATGTCAAAAGCAAATTATTATTGTGACAATTTCATGATTTGGCACAGAAGTTGCAAAGGAAAGATGATAATTCAACATGTAAGACAGAAAACTGCATGAGCCATTGTCTTAACAAAAATGCATTCTTAATTCCAGGTGGCTTCCAAGCAAATACAATCAAATTCCACTTTAGAGTAATTGAAGTCAAAGCTTGGATACGTACCTTGTCAGCGTGATCTGGAAGGAAGAGTAACCAGCAATGAACGAAGCCAACCTTGTCAGGCTCTGCTTTCCTGATCCACCCACCCCAACTAGAAGGGCATTGCCTCGAGGAGTTCTAATAATGCGGGAGATCTGTAACACAGGATACGAAAAGCAGGTATTGTTCAGCATGTAAGTATTACACTTTTTTTCTATTTACTCAATATAAAAACAATCATTTTTGGAAAACATAGGTATCTCAGGATCAGAATGAAGCTTGGGGAAGAGGGGTGTGACTTTGGAAAGCCTTGTAGAAGAGAAGTCAGCAAACACCTGAAATTATTGCTTGCTCTGCATCTGAATCTTGAAGGGGGGAAATATCTGAAATAATGGAGTTTTCACTGAAGAAAGACAGAATAAAAGTTCCTATCATTTGGCAGATACCTGAGATATTTACCAAGACATGACTTGAGAGAGGTCATGTCCACTCAGTTAGATGGCCACACCAAGGTGCTCTCATGATAGATCGTCATGTTTATTTTATTTCACTGGTGTTTACTAACACCGTCAAGGCCTCCAAACCCACCTGGCAGATTTAACATCCAATTGTGTTTGGTGTTATTTTCCTCTTATCTGCTTTGTCTTTCCCTCCTAACTGCGGTCAGAACCATCTGTCTATTTGTGGTACAATAAATCAGGGACTAATGTCAGGGTGTTATTTATATTTAGCTTTGGAAGCCCATTTGCAGTCACCCTCAGAACAGATGTTTCGGATTCTAAGAATACAGAGTTTCAAAGGCAGAAGTTCTCATGCTGAGAATCTCGACCCGGGAACAGCCTCTATCCTTGTCCCTCTCCACGATTCGCCCTAGCCTCGAAGAATTACTGCTTCGTCCTCTTGCTGGGTAAAAGAAGCAATTAAGCAACACTCATTTTCAGAGAGAAGCTTGAGTAGCTAACCACTAAGACCTTCTCCGATCCTAAGATAGAGTAATTACTAGAGGTGACGATTTGTAATTATAAACTCACACCTGGTGGTTCAATCTGAGTAATGGAGAGCAGCCTCTAATTGTCTTCTTTCTAACTAGAAGGATGTGGTTAGGAAAAGCAATTGCCATAAACAATGCAATCATGCCAACAAGGGTCCTTAAGTGGCATTATCTATCACTTTAGATAAATTAGATGATATGAATTATCAGGTTAACCTTTGAGGATCAATTTTCCTTAAAAAAAACCCAAAAACTGTAGCTATAATGACGCATATGACAAAACCATACTTTGCTGGTGGATATATCTAATAATGTTAGAGACAGATTTGCGTCCCTTGAAAATTTGTATTGGAATCTTAACCTTCTGTCTATTGATTAATCTCATCTGGAAATGAACAACGTTTTTGTCACATTAATGAGGTTGTATCAGTGTGAAGTGTGTCTTAAATGTAGCACTTTTGAAGCTGAAAGCATAGATGAGGCACAAACGCAAGCAAGCATAAACAGGGAAAGACAGACGCCAGGTGGACATCACGGCTGAAAGAGCAATGCTGGGGCTCCAGAAACAGAAGTGCTGTCATGTCAGAGCTGACCCATGGCTGACCCTACAGTGGTTTTCAGAGGGGGTAAAATGCAGAGCAGGAGCTTGCCCATCTTTCTCCCTCAGAGCAGCTGGTGGATTCAAACCAAGTTCCTCTCAGTGGGCAGCACAATTCCTGACCACTAAGCCACCAGAGATCCCTTACAGACACTAAGACCAACATTTTCTCCCCAGAGTGGACAAAGAAAAAGAGCCTGCACCTGGAGTTAGTGCCCTCAACTTGGACTTCAGCCTTCTAAACTATAAGAAAAATGAATTTCCCTTCCTTACAGCTACCTGCTTGAGATATTTCTACTGTAGTAGAACTAGGAAACAAAGACATAGAATTTTTAAAGCTGGCACAAAGTCAACATTCAGGCATTAATTTTAGAATTATCTTTAGTACTATGCAGAAATATGCATCTTTTCCCCTGGGCTTTGAACTCCCATGTCAACCATGTATGGTCTATGTTGTGCAAACACTCAGCTGAAAACAACACTGAAAAAAGTTAGGTAAGGGTGTGTGTGTGTGTGTGTGTGTGTGTGTGTGTGTAATACACATGCCTATAGTGTGGTGTGCTGCTTTCAGATTGCTGGGTTTATCATTAAACTGAATATTTTGCAAGGGAGTAAAAATTTTTTAAAAGGGGGACATTCTGGTGCAAAGTCAAGTGCCTGTCCCTTCCACAGGATACTCCTTAGTGTGACCACTGTACCTTGACTAAGTGGACCATGGCATCTGCAAAGAACACCATGTCCATGCCAGCGCCGCGGACACTCTCATTATACAGCTGCAAGAACATATTCAAACGCTCCTTCAGGTCATTAAAAGACTCAACTGGCTCATAAATTTTGGGCATTTCAGCTTCAGCCTCCTCAGATGTTTCACCTGGGGTTAGGGAAGAAGAAACTATTAAATGTCTTCGAATAGCTGGCCGGTACTCCCTCCTTCCACCTAAATTAAGACCATTATAAAACTACAATTTTGTGCAGGATAAAACCGATTTGCATCCAGCTGCAGTTGTGCACATTTTTAAGGGAAAGAAGAAGGAAAAAAAACAATAGCAACAGTGTTAAGATCTTTGTGTTCATACACGGTCTAATTTTCTTTCCTTATCTAGAAAGGACCAATTTCAAATGATGATACAGTTATTGAATTGAATCTGGGCCCACAATGGAACACTGTCATTTATGAAGTTCTTTTGGTTTTTTTTGTTGTTTTTTTTTTTTTTTTGGTTAATGGTCATACTGAAAGGCCAAAAGTAGGGCTTTAATGTCAAAATCAACAAGAGAGTTCAATAATTTCATGACATTTCAGAAAGACTGAAAAGAAAAAGGTCCCTTAGTTTGCTCAGGAAACTGTTATGGCTCAACAGTTCCAAGTTATTGGTGGGACTAGAAATGGATTTTTAGGACATTGGAAGAGGAGGTTGACAGGATACAGAAAAAAATTTCCTAAATAAGCATATTGAAATATTTCACTAGGAAAATACAAACTAAAATTAGTGTAGTGGTTTGTTTTAATAGAAAGACAGAACTACTTAATCCTCCCAATTATTACTGCAAAACATAACATCCTCTCTCCCCTCCAGCAAAAAATCCATAAAACGGCTAAACTGAGCAAAATAAATTTATTATTAGCTGAGAAATTAAGGAGATAAATAGAAGATTCCAAAGAACAGCTCAAAAAGACAAAACAAAGTATTATAATGAAATATGCAAAGAACTAGACTCAGAACATGAAAGGGTACTAACTCAGCATTTCCTAAGCTGAAAGAACTAAAGAACAAATCCAAGCCTCAAATTGCAATACTTAAGGATATTATGGGAAGAATGCTGAATGACCCAAGAAGCATCACAAGAAGATGGAAATAGTACATAGAGTCACTGTACCAAAAAGTATTGGCTGACAAAGAAAAATTTCATGAAATAGCATATGAAGTCTATGGGGGAGAGAATAGTCTAAAAGTATTATATTTTAGGGCATTGTTTTTATCATAGGAGTATGCAATGAGGCTTGCAGAGTGGATTATATTTGGGGGTAGGGGTGGGGTTTGGGGAGGTATGGGGGGGATTGTGTACCAATGAGGGAGTTTTTCTTTTGCTTTTCAAGGAGAGGAGCAAATGGGGGGGGGGGGGGAGGGGTTTGTGCGGGGAGAACGGTGCAACAATGAGTGAATGGAATTCCAAAATCTCTATAGATGTTCATTGAAATGAAAAATAAACAAACTAAATTAATAAAAAAAAGAATCCAGTGATTTGTGCTTCGTTGACTTTGCAAAGGCATTTGACTGTGTGGATCACTACAAATTGTGGCTCACTTGAGAAGAATGGAAATCCTGGAACATTTGATTGTGCTTATGTGAAACCTGTACTTGGACCAGGAGGCAGTCATCACAACAAAGCAAAGAAACACTGCATGGTTCAGGATCAGAAAAGGTGTGTGTCAAAGACGCATCCTGATTCTATATCTTTTCAATCTATACATGGAACAGATCATTTGAGAGGCTGGAATTTATGAGGGGGAATTGTGGCATCAGGATTGGAGGAAGCCTTATCAACAACCTGCATCATGCAGATGATACAAGATTGTTACTGAAAGTGAGGAGGACCTGAGGCATTTGCTGGAGAAGATCAAGACCTCCAGTCTTCAGTATGGATTGAAGCTCAAGATCAGGAAAACAAAGATTCTCACGACTGGGCCAATTAGTAGGATTGTGAAAGAGAAGAGACTGAGATTGTTAATAATTTCACCTTGCTCAGTTCCACAATCAACATTCATGGCACTAGCAGTCAAAAAATCAAAAGATGAATTGCATTGAGAAAATCTGCTTTCAGGGATCTCTCCAGAGTGCTGAAGCCAACAGTGTAAGACTAAGGTGTGCCTGATCCAAACCATGGTCTTCGCAATGACTTGCTATGAATCAGAGAGCTGGACAATGACCAAGGAGGACAGAAGAAGAATTGATGCCTTTGAGTTGTGGTGCTGGAGAAGAATACTGAACACCATGCACTGCCAAGAGAACAAACAGGTCTGTCCCAGAGACAGTGAAACCATGCTGTTCCTTGGAGGTAAGGATTTTGAAGCTCCATCTCCTATACTTTGAATATGTTGTCCTTGGAGAAGGACAACATGCTTGGAAAAGTGGAGGGAGGGACAGCACAGGAGAGGAAGACCCCAGATAAGATGGATTGACACCGTAACTGGGGTAACAGGGGTAGGTGTGTCAGAGACAGTGAGACTGGCTCAGGATAGGATAGATTTCAGAGCTATTGTACATAGGGTCACTATGAGTCACAGGCGACTAAGCGGTGTTGTTATGCGCCATCAAGTCAGAACCAACTCATAGTTGACCCTTTCCAGAGGCTGTAAGATTCAAAAAAGGAGACTGCCCATCTTTTCTGTAAGAGCTCCCGGTGGATGCAAACTGCCTGTTTTACCATATCAGAACTCCCTAATATTCGTAACAGAGAAAAAAAGCAACTTCAGTTGAATGTATCAAGGAGAACTTTCCAATGCATAGAACAGTAGTGGCTTTTCTACAACTGAAACACAGCATATTAACCATTTTATGGCAAAGGAAAGAAATGGATTTCTTGTCATCTTTAAGTGGTGCGCTGATCACCCAAAGGTCTCTCCTTTCTGGAGTTGGGATCCACCAGCTGTTACTCTGGGTACAGTTTACAGTCTCTGAAATTCCACCGGCGGGTCAGCCAGAGGCGGGTTCTGACTCGATGCCCATGAGATTGAGTAAGTTTTTGAGAACCATCAAGGATAAAGTATCTGTGATGCTGTCACTGATTAAATTCAAACTCTTTTCACAAATGCTCAACAAGCTTTGAGGAACAAAAAGTTTTAAAGTCACTGAAGGTTCTGCGTTTGCCTCCAAACTAATAAAAGACAAGAAGCAGCAGTATTGTTCTGCTCTCTGAAATCCATCATCTAATTGTTATTTACCTTTCTGATTTAGCAGAAATAAAATGAATAGGTTTTAATTGCCTTGAAAATGCTCTTAGCTTTCCAGGATTTGTGTGTGTACATTTATGCATGCGTGTGTTTGTGACCTGATTTAAAGTGAAATGTTTCAGCCTTTTTTTACAGAAAGATCACTCCACCTCTACAGCCAACACACACGCCTTCCCATCTGATTGTCATTCAGGAATACTGCACACCATGCATGTCACAGACAATCAACCAACATGAGGTCTGGCAATCTCTGCCCATTTAAAGGACACTGCATGTTTTCAAATATGCTTTCAAAAAATGTAGATAAAATTAAAAATGTATCTTTATATTTGTTGGTGTTGTTATATACCATCGAGTCAGAACCAACCCGTAGCTGACCCTCCAGTGGGTTTTCAGAGGTAATAAATCACACAGGACGAGACTTCCCATTCTTCTCCCAAGGAGCAGCCCATGGATTCGAACCAGATGCCTTCATGTTGGCAGCAGAGGTCCTTACCACCAGGTCACCAGATTTAGAAGAGGTTATTAAGCAAAGGTTTTGAAATCATTGGAGGTTATTTTTTGCTTCTGAATTTAAAAAAAGAAGACAAACACAGTAGTAAAAATAAGAGTCTGCTTATATCCACTACTTACTGCTCAGAAAGAGTCTACTTATTTCTGAGGAGGAAAATAATAGAAGAACAACTACAGCGCACCTCTCTTTATATGAAAAGTTACTGATGTCAATTTTTCATGTAATCATAACCCCAAAAGCTTGCTTTCACATCACTGTTTTATTTCAAGTTCTACTCAGTGAGAACAACCACTTGGCCAACTGACTGGAAGAGATCTATATTTGTTCCCATTCCAAAGAAGGGTGACCCAACTGAGTGTGGAAACTACAGAACAGTGTCATTGATTTCACGTGCAAGCAAGATTCTACCGAAGATTATCCAAAAACGACTAGAACAGCACATCAGCAGAGGATTGCCAGAAGTCCAGGCTGGGTTTAGAAGGGGTCGTGGTACTAGGGATATTGTTGCTGATGTTAGATGGATCTTGGCTGAAAGCAGAGAATACCAGAAGAATGTATATCCGTGTTTCATTGATTATGCAAAGGATGTTATGATCCACTGTGTGGATCATAACAAACTGTGGCTGACTCTGAGAAGAATGGGAATCCCAGAACATTTGATTGTGCTAATGCGAAACCTATACTTGGACCAAGAGGCAGTAGTCAGAACAGAGCAGGGTAACACTGCATGGTTCAAAATTGGGAAGGGCGCACGCCAGGGATGCATCCTGTTTCCATACCTTTTCAACATGTATGCAGAGCAGATTATCCAGGATGCTGGGCTTTATGAGGAGAAGTTGGGTGTCAGGATTGGTGGAAGATCTATTAACAATCTGCATCATGCAGATGACACAACCCTGCTTGCTGAAACTGAGGAGGACCTCATGTACTTGCTGCGAAGGGTCAAGGACTGCATCCTTTACTATGGACTGAGGCTCAATGTGAAGAAGACAAAGATTCTTACCACTGGACCAATTGGCAGCATCAGGATGGATGGCGAAGAGATTGAGATTGTTCACAGCTTCAGTTTGCTCGGCTCCACAGTCAACACTCTTGGCACCAGCAGTGAGGAAATAAAAAAGTGTATCGCGATGGGAAAGTCTGCTGTTAGGGATCTCTCTAAAGTACTCAAGAGCAACGGTGTCTCTCTGGAGACTAAGGTGCACCTGATACAGGCCATCCACGGTCTTTGCAATCACTTGTTATGCACCAGAGAGTTGAACAATGACTAGGGAGGACAGAAGGAGAGTTGATGCCTTTGAGCTGTGGTGCTGGAGAAAGGTACTGAATGTACCATGGACTGCCAGGAAAACAAACAGATTCATCTCGGAGAGGATTAAACCAAGCTACTCCTTGGAGGCAAGGATTCTGGGGCTTCATCTGACATACTTTGGACATGTTGCCAAGAGGGACGGGTCCTTGGAGAGGGACATCATGCTTCGGAGGGTGGAGGGACAGCACAGGAGGGGAAGACCCTCTATGAGATGGATTGATTCGGTTACGGGGGTAATCGGGATGGGCATGTCGGAGGCAGTGTGGTCGGCGCAGGATAGAGCAGGGTTTAGGGCTGTTGTGCATAGGGTCGCTATGAGTCACAAACGACTCGACGGCACATAACAACAACAACAACAACAACTCCGTGATTCAGTTACTTATTTTCAAATGTTTACATTTTCTTTTCAATATTTAGCTCACCCAAATGAAAATAGTAATTATCACTGAGTCACTATTATTCAAGCTTCTGTAAAGTAAACGGGATAAGACCAGACTCACAGTGGTCCAGCCAGTTCTGACTTCCAGACAGAGCATGAGAACCCAACAGGGTCTCCTAAACCTTACTCGCTGTTACAGGAACATACTGCCATATCCTTCTCCCCTGGAGCACCCCAGGGGTTTTGAACTGCTGATCTTTCAGATCGCAGTGAAGCATCATCCACTGTGGCACCAGGGCTCATTCTAATTCTGATTCACAGTGACCCCATGCTGAAAGTACCAAACCCAACCCTTCTGCCTTGGAGTTGATTCCAGCTCATAGCGACCCTCCCACTGGTTTCCAAGGCTGTAAATCTCTAGGGAGGGGACTGCCAGTCTTTCCCCCAAAGAGCAGCTGTGGAGTCAAACTGCCAGCCTTATGGCTCGCAGCTCAATGTGCCATGCTCAGTGCTACCAGGAGGGTTTATTCTTCACAGTGAGAAATCAAGGGAGAAGTTCTTCCCTGGTCTTTCAGAATTCACTTTCAACACTTTGCCATTGTATAGTCTTTGTCCTTTTCATTGAAAATGTGTAGGTTTGTATACCTAAGGATATTTCTTCAAGGATCTGGCAGCCACTTCTTATCCAGTGTGCTCACCGAAGGAGCCTACCCCCCAGATTCCGGGTAGCTGGAAGGGGACCAGCATGACACCCGGAATCCTGCCATAAAGATACTAGAAATATGGCAATTTCACCTTAAAACTGGAGGCCTCCTGTTCTATTCTATCAGATATATGAAAGGCTAGGCTTCTTTTTATCTCTTTCAGCTCTTTTGACTGTTTCCATATTCATCAATTAGGAAAGGGTTCAAGCAATTTCAGGGATATGTTCAGCTAATATGCGGTTGAACACTAATCTCTATGTGTTAAACATAATGAAAATCTGTGGTCTTTTATCTTATAGCCCACCTTAAAATTCAAGGCTAAAATGCATAAAAATAATAATCATTTTCAAGTAAACAGACATTTACCTACTTGTTCTATAAATACATGTTCAGAACCTAATGTGCACAAAGCTGGTTTCACTAGGACTCGCCACCTTCAGATACGCTCCTTGAGTAAAGCTATTTTCAAATTTGTCTTTAATTGTTTACCTGTAGCTTCAGGCGCATCTCGCAAGAAATCCACAAAATAAGCGTCAATGCCGTAGTCCACAGAAAGCCTTTCTTCTTCGCCAAACTCGTCCTCCACTAAATTGACTAAGGCTTTATCAAACCAGGTCACATCCTCAGAAGCCGTGAACCGATCAGCTATAACACGTTTACATTCATGCTTCCACAGTTTTAGGAGCTCCTGTCAAAAGCAGAGTGTAAAAGTGTTATTAATTCACATCACATCATGGGTGGGCATTTGTATAGAGTGTCACCCTTTCTAATTCGATATTTGACTTATAAATAGATTTACTAGGCACCATCTCATTTTGAATTGGCCTCATTCAAGTATATAAAGTAGACGACAAAAGCCGCTCTGGTGTTAGCCTTAAGGTTGGCAGTCCCAGTCTACCTACAGGCACCATGGAAGAAAGATCTGGACATCTACTTTGAAAGATTCAGCAGTTGAAAATCCCAAGGGAGAACACTTCTACGCTGGCATGCACGAACTCTCCACAAATCAGTCAACTCCACACCAACTCATTTGCTTGGGGGTCTATTCATTTGCACGTTCTAAATGGCATTTAAATATCTCTAGAACTGTTTCAAGATGATTCTGTCAGCCAAACAATGAAAATACTATGGAAAGTGTACACGCTCATGGTCAGAACAGAATCATGGTTGGCCGTCCAGTGGGATTCCAAGGCTGCAAATGACATAGGAAAAGAGTGTCCATCTTTCTCCCATGGAGCCACGGGTAGCTTTCAACCACCAGAGAAGTACCTAATTCATAGCTACTCTTTGATTTAGCAGTGACTATCCCCCCAGAAAGATCTTAAGTGTGTGGCAAATAAGTCTGCTTGGAAAGATATCTACATTATCATGGTCAGGGATTAATATAAGATATAGTTGATGATGCCAAGGGGGCCCTTTAGAGTAGTGAGAGAAGAGCTTCACCCTGAAACCCACAGTGTCCCTTTTCAGCAGGAAGTAGCTAAGAGAATA